AACGTATATATGAACAATAATCAATAATCAATTAATTAATTAATCGCGTCTGTTGATCTACGATATCCCATTTTGCATTTCTCTCTATATCGATTAATTGACGATCGTCAAATCAAATCTTATAATCTCACTGGCTCTGTTTTGTGATCTGGATCGACCGCGGCGGCGGCGGAGCAGGACGTGGCGAAAAACGGAGTTCTGGCGGTGCAGACGCTGAGAAACAACATAATGGCGTCGACCCTTTTGGCCTCGACGGCGATCATGCTGAGCTCACTCATTGCTTTGTTAATGTCGAGCAGCACGACGAATCGGTCTTCCTGGTTCGTTCTTGGGAGCAAAAGCGAGCTGGCTTTCTCCATAAAATTCTTCTCCATACTCGTCTGCTTCCTGGTTTCATTCATGTTCAACGTTCAATCGATTCGGTATTATAGCCATGCAAGCATCCTGATCAACGTGCCGTTCATGAAGATGTCGCCTCACCACCACCACCATCTTCTCAACGTCGAGTACGTGGCTTCCACTCTTGACAGAGGCAGCTACTTCTGGTCTTTAGGTTTAAGAGCTTTCTACTTCTCCTTCCCGCTCTTCCTGTGGATTTTTGGGCCAATCCCTTCTTTAATCTGCTGCGTTTTTCTCATCTTCATGCTTTTTTTCCTGGATGTGACGTTTGAAAAAGGGTGGCCGGTTGAGGTTTCTGATGGTGGTGATGGAGATCGAGAGGAGGATGGAGGGGCTGTGAATTTAGTGTAGTGTACTTGTTGGTAATTTAGATTGCAAATGATTGAGATGTCTTTTGAAGTGATATAGAATATTGGAGTGATTCATGTTTCAATCCAAGTTGAACTGATTTTGCTCTGAAAATAAACTGGCATTAATATGTTCTATATAATATATATATATATATATATATATTGTTTATGTCAAATCAACAGCTTTTTAATCTGGAAATTCTGGGTTTTATATGCCAATTTTCTTATTTGACTTCTGGGGTAATCGCTTTAACGATATGACAAACAAAGAAGTGACATTTCTGATACCATTCGGCATTTCACCATTGATGAACCCATCGAGTTGCAAAGAATTTAAAAAGAAAAGATTATCACATTTCAAAAATAAGATTCTAAAAACTCTAAACAGAAATTAACTTCAAAAATATCATTACCAAGAAAATTAGGAGAAAGAATACAGCGCTTGTTAAACTGGTGGCACGTGCTATGTGAATATAAACAGAGAAATACATGAAATTCAATTTTAATTTATTTAAAAAATCTGAATACAAAAAACCATATTCATGAAACCGATTATATTATTCCAACAGCTATTCTCGCTAGGAATCTTGTATATAACCTTTTTATAGTTCCTTTCAAGCTTCTTTCTTCTCCCGAACTGAAAGCAGGTATGTCCTGTATGACTCTACTTGAGAGTGGGACATGGGGAAAGTGGATGTGATTGATGCCTTTTTTACAAAGGGCAAAATGGAGACAAAAGAACCCAAAGCTGGCATTTTGCTGTCCTCCCAATCTTGAGTGTGTACTTTCTGGTTTCCCACTAGTTTTGTTTCTTGCAAGTTTTTCCCTCTAATCCCCCAAACCAAGATGAGCCCATCATTTTCCTCTACTTGCTCCATACGAACATCTTTCTTGTATTTAACCTCTGCATGCCTCTTGATCAACTGGGATCTCTTGCTGAATTGCCAATTTAACCTCTCTTTCAGTATTGGTAAATGCCATTTGCTTTTAGTTACCTTGCCATTCTTCCCCCTTCCGCAAGTAAAGACAGACCAAGCAAAATGAATTCGAAAAAAGCTACACAGGAACGTCATTTACTGCTTTGGCATGGATCGTTAGATGCTATAAGTAGGTATTTTATTTTTATTCCAATAGCCACCGGAGTCTAGCCATTCACAAATTGTAAAGCTCCATTTGTTCAGTTCTTATTCTATTTCTTAGACTTCATTCTCATGTTAGTTTGAAGATGTATAATTTGAAAACAATTTGCTGTTTTCGAATTATCATTACTCTTGTCTTGAATTCCGGAATCCGGGGAATTCATTTCTTACTTAAAAGGTAGGAAGTTGAATTTTTTAACTGTTAAAAAATTTGATTTACTTCAGTGATAAATAAAACTTGAACAGATGTATTATAATATACAGTTTTAAGACTAATATGAAAATTAAAGGTAGAAAAGTTGACAATATAAATTGAACTGAACACAGCGTAAAAATTGAGATAGAGAATAACTGAAGTGTAAAAATACACCATCCTAAGTAAGAACTTTCAGAATCCCTTCTGGGTTAATCTCACATTAAGTAGCATTGATTTACAACACAGATGGCATTTTGCTGCAATCACACAGATTTGATATCGTTATTTTAAGTATTATTATATATGGTGACACTGATCACCTTTGCACGTGAAAAAGAACTTATGGAAACAAAACAGAATCAGGTTTCCATCAATATAAAAAGTTTTAGAAAAATAATGAGTTTTTGTTGTAAGTACCTTTCCAGATCAAATCTCTCAAGTCTCCATCAATACCTTTATTTGCATCCTGGATAATCGCTCCTGAACCTAACATACCGAACAGTAGGTTGAAATAATTTTCTTGATTCCTCAAATTTGATTTCCAAATGTTTCAGCCATCCACGTGATTGATCCTTTCTCGTATATCCCTAGGGAGAATGATATCCACCATGAGCCTAACCTTCTAAATGTCTGAAATACAAATTTGAAAAAAGGTTTGCATAAAATGGATATCTATGTTTGTATGAATTTCCGTCTCTGTGTATCTGAGAGAGAGAGAGAGACAGATAGAAGAAATCTTTTGTAACAATGAATGACAACTAATATTTAGTTTGTACCGACACAAATCAACAATGATAATGGGCTTTCCAGACTTTCTATGCATGTATATCCAACCCACCTGCTGTTTGGTTAATGAGGCGTCAAGACCAAAATAAGCAATCACAACAGTGGATCAACCACACTGACCCATTAATCGAGACAACAGTTGCGGACAGCAACATTAACATTCCTACCTTTCAGGTTTCAACATCTGCTAATTTCAACTTCAGCTTCATATTGCCAGCTTGGACTTCAATTTCTTCCTTAGACGGATCTATTTTCAGAATGGCTGCCCTTTTCCCAAGGGAGGAAATAAGCACCGTGTCACCAACCTTAGGAAGCTCAGTTCTCTTTACTGGACTCTCTTTAGGAGAGGCATGTACTAGAAAACAAAACAGTGAATTTCCTTCCAATAAATGAAATTAAGATTGAAAAGTGGAGAACAAAGCTTTCACATGATAGGATTTTATTCAATTTTGACTAGCTAATACCTGGTGGTGATTGCTTGACAACTTCAAGGGATGATGAACTTTTAGTATATTCCTCTTTGTCAATTGCAACATGTTGGTTGTAACTTGACAATCTTTTTTGACCTTTGGCCACTGCAGTTAATTGAGTCCGTTGTAGGGAAGATGCACGAAGCTGCTGTAATTTCCTGTGGAGGAGAGAACGTGCTCTTGCACCAGCTGCAGAAATTTCCCTCATCTTCTTCTGTCTTTGATCAATGCTATGCTCCATGATCTTCTTTTTGGTCAGCAAAAGGTTTTCGTGAAGATCTCTTGAGAGCCTACAAGCACAAAATGAAGATAAACTTGCCGGAAATCTTCGAGCATCAAATATTAGCAAGTTTTGCAGAATTTGATGGCCTTAAAGTAAGATAGTTATTGTGAAAATAAGAAGTAGGTGATAATGTCTTTGGCCATTCACCAAGATACTCTCATTCACAAGCAAGGGCCCGAGTTCAATCCCCATCAGTCACAAATTTGTCTTAAAAATGTAAGGTTATCCTCTAAACCAACACTAGCAATCTCTCTGCAGGATGTTTCTTTCAGTCATCATGGTATATTCGCAGTAAGGTTTCAAACTGCTGCTGGAAAGCACTTGAAGTACACAGCACCTGTGCTCTGATACTGATTTGCTATAGTCCTGTGTTTGTGACCAAATTATGGATCCATTGAGACTGAAATCTATAGGCAAGCAGGATGCATTTGCAAAGTTTCCCTCTTCATGACCTGTGTTGAGTCAGTTGTACAGCTCATTGGAGAGAACTTTTATCTCTCAGAATTGAGCTCTCTAGAATCTTTTTAGATAAATTATTCTGATATGCAAATTTCTAAAATCTGGCTACAAGTAAATTGGGAAGAGTTGCGCACTTTCTTACTAGAATCTAGGATCTGATAACCTTGATTTCAGTTCATGAGTTTTCTGTACTTAAGTATCCCTAGCTTTGCTAATTAACCTAGGATTCTGAAACATTGATTCAGATCACTGAAAAATATAAATGCCAAAGTGAAGGACATCTAAACTTAATCCAACAGCAGGAAAGAGTTCTAACCACAATTTCTTGCTGTTGATTGCCTATTTTCCGCTTCTTGTCCATGGGTTCCTCCCCAGACTTGAAGCTTTTCTCAACTTATTAGCCAACAGTTCATCTCCACACTTTATACAGCCAAAATCTTTCTTTCATATTATCAACGATAAGAATAGTCTCAGTAATGAATGGAAGCAAATGAAAGTGTTAGAATCTAATATACCCCATCAACTATAACAAAGAAAAAGATATCCTTGCCATTCCTCTCAAGCTTTGAGCAATAAAACAGCAAATATTAACAATGAAACAAAAAGAGTTCGTCTTACTTTTTTATGATGTTCTTTAGTTGACCAACCCAAAACTTAGGATGTTCAAGAGTCATATCTAACCATGCAGAAGCCTATATCCATAAGTTAATTTTATAAGCAGATGATACTCACATTAAATATTTTCTTGTTTCATGTAAAAGCTCTTGATATTCTTGCTTGAACCTTTCCATACTGATTATAACCTGCACAATAAAAGAGAGAGATTATAGAAGATGTTGGTTTGATTTCAAAAATGATTGGGAGAGAACAAACAACTTATACAAATAAGCTAAGAATAAGAGTTACTAGTAGCAAATCCCTGCTAGTAGCAATGTAAAATGTGTTATAAGTGTAGTCACCATTATTTACCGTGTTGATGCTAGGGGATGAGAACTTAAGAAGATAAAAGGCAGTTTCTTTAATACATGAAAGCCTTTGAAGGGTCAAATAAGTACCAGAAAATGCAGTTACTGATACCATTATACACTGCTTTTTAAGGTGAAATTACCATTATACGTGGTTAATCTATGAAAAGGTTACCTTTGTAAAGTCACATAGAGACAACAGAGGAAAAATATCTAGTGCAGTGTCAAAAGTCATGGTGTAACAATTGCCAAATCAGATACTATAACTTTGCTAGAAAGGCAAAAATACTTTTTATGAGCTACTGCATGTTACCTCATTAATCTCTGCACTAGCATCACCATATAATTCTCGAGCATTATCAATAACCACGCTGGGTAATCCCAATCTTTCAGCAATATTTATTGCATTGGAGCGACCTACAAAATATCTACAAATTCAGTCGTAGAAACTAATGCGAGGGCTCATAAATTATTTATACAATATATATATATATATATATATATATATATATATATATATATATATACGACAACAAACCAATCAGTATAAGCTAAATTGGGGAACTTTCAACTTTTCAAGAATCTCCTAAGAACTAGGTTACAAGCAATTGGGAGAGAAGATCATAGTCTTACATGTTTGCAGTGTTTTGAGATGGGCACCTCATGTCACAATCCTCTCATTAGACAAAAACTTTCAGGCCACTAAAGGCATCCTAGTTCAGTTCCTTAAATTGGTTATAAGTAATATGAGCTTTCTCTTCACTCCTGGCAATATTCTTAAAGTTCATCCAGTAAGACACCAGTAAATTTGTTTAGACAGTATTGCTGCTTCCTATTTTTCACTACACCTCATTATTCTGAACTTACTGCCTTTTACAACTCTGGGTAAGAGGCTTTTGACATTGAGCTTGCTCCTGTAACCATGCCAGAGACAATGCAAGTTCAAACTAGTCTTTTGAATTTTAACTAACTATACGCATTTAACATTCTGTAGAAGATTAGAGGCAATGCAAGTACCTTGTTAAAATAACTGAATGTAGGTTATAAATTTCTATGGCATATAAAAAGGCAAGGATCATACATATAGCATGCAACAGCATCTTGTTTCACCATGTAGCAAAATAAAGCCACAAACAGCCGGCATCAGTTGGAGTATGATTCGTAAAGAGGTGTTCACTCACAATTACAAAGTGTGTTTATAGCTAGAGAACAAAATAGGATTTTCTAAGCTTGTGTGTTATAAACTAAAAAAGTATAAATTACTGAACCTTGAAATCATTAAAAAAATTCAAATAAATGAATCTGAGAGTGAAACCTGGTATTCCCCAGAGAATCTTATAAGTCGGCTTTAAATTAACTTCATCAAACTCCATGCAAGCATTTTCGAAGGCAGCATTGCTGTCAAGTATTCACTTCCAAACACATCAGGCAAGATGTTAAAGGCTTTAACACTATTTGTCACCAAAAACATTGCTATGCACTAAAAACCTGTATTTAAGTGTTTTAAGTTCTTCGTGGTGTGTGGTCGCTATTGTCAACAAAGCACTTTCTGCAAAAGCTTCCAGCAGAGACATCCCCAACGCTGCTCCTTCAAGTGGATTTGTTCCTGCTCCTACCTTGCAAATGCAAAAGAGACAGCATTTATACTCCCTCATGTGGAATGGTAATTCTCACTTCATATTTACAATGGATCATTATTAGTACGTATATTAGTGAGTGTTCATCAACATATTGAATTTCAAAAGTGCCCTTGAAAAATCAGCAAGTAGGGGAAAGTAGAAGATATGCCCAGGTGCAAAATTTGCAAGATAAAATTTTCAATTACGACAGTACCTTTCTAATTGTCAAAGTGTACACTGACATTCAAAATAGGAAAGGTGAACAGCCCTATTGGAAGGGAAAGTGTATGCATATACATGCATATATATATTTTGCAGTAATACAATTTTCACGTCTTCTAGGCCAGGGTTATATATGTTCTTTAAGCCATGCAAAGGTAGTAAGGTATGAAAAACAAGATTAGTGGACATAGAAAGATCTGTCTCAAGCATACTTCATCTAACAGCACCAGTGATCTGCTTGTTGAATGTGACTGAATGTCCTGCAAAATAATGAAACTTCATCATATTTTGAGGACCAGAAAACTAATATAAAATAGTCTGGAAAGAAAATGTAGTATGGGGGTACTATGAATTGTTATCATACCCTGCCAAATATTCTTTGGACCCAAATACTTATACATGCAATGAGCTTGAAAAATAACTAAGATAATCGGACTTTTAGAATTGCAGTTCTAAGCAAATTAGTTTTATCTATCCAAAAATCACGCATATTAATAGCTGTGGCTAGAAAACAAAACTACTTACAGAGAACTTAAGCACAGTAGTAAAAATTGGGCCAGGATGAAGTGTTAATAAATTCAAATAGAAGATAGATCACAAGCAACTAATTTAAAAAAACAGAAAAAAAAAAAGATCCAGATGAAACGCAATGTCATAAGCCACTAAAGAAGTCCAGGACAATGATGAAGTTGATACAAAATCCAAAGTTCGTGCTTAAAGCAATTGCAGAAATAAAAGCAATGAACTTCATAAGTTGATTGTAGTTATAGATCTGGCCAAATTGATAAAATTACAAATGTCAAATCAACTGTCCAAATAACGTTCCCATGAAATATATCCTTACACTTATTTGCTTTAGGTGTCCTGAGAAGGTAGATAAAGATTGAGACAGAGACTGCTCATCACCAACATCAGCAAAAACAGAATCAAACCACGGAATTCGCGCAGATTCAGAGGATAAAACATGAAGACCTGCAAATACAATAAACTAGTACAAGGTAATGGTATGACTCAAAAAAATCTTTTTGACTCTCT